GGATTGACCACAATTGCTTTAAACTAGTCTTGCAAGGTTTCAAATAGCCCAGAAAACCATCCCCACTCTCTCCCTAGCATACATTCAAGAAACTAAAGAGAAAGTTATAGCTGTAAATGGCAAGTTATTCCTTCTTTCCTGATCTTTATTAATTTGTTATTATGTGAATTATTTGCCATGTTATGTGGGTCAGTTAAATCATTTATTCTGTTTAATTAAAAAAGCATTGACTTTTACCAAAAAAAATCACATAGCCAAATTTGTGTCTTAGATAAATAACTCTGTCTAACTCACATTTAATTAGCTAAATATGGAGTATTGAATTAAGGTACGGACAGGGCGTGAGGCAAAGACATCAGTCAGGAGACTTCCAGTAGTCTGTGGAAGAGATGATGCTAAACCAAGAAAACGACAGTTCATATAGAAAAGACAAAATATATTAAAAAAACATTTACGAAATAAAGTGGGCAGAAATCAGTCTTTTCTGAAGGGAGTAAAGGAGAGAAGAGATTCGAAGATTACTCTCTGTTTGTAGCTGAGATTCCTAAATTGATATGGCCCTGATAGAAAGGGAATTCAGGATAAAGAACAGATGCTAGGGATAGATAATGCGTTTAGTTTTGAGCACACTGCATTTGAGATGCCTGTGGGATGCGCTGGTAAAGATAGCTCGCAAACAGTTGATCAAATAAAATTTAGGAGTCATCAATTCCTAGGTAATAGCAAAAACCATGAAAATGGATGAGCTCACTCGGAGCGAACATATAGAATGACAAGTAAGGGAGACCAGGAGAAAAAAATCTTCGTGAACACCAGCATTAGTGGGTGGGCTGAAGCAAGACTATCCAGTGGAGGAAACTATGAAAGCAGTGTTGGGGTGGCGAAAGGACACCCCAAGGAACATGGTGCCATATGAGGCAGAAGAAGACAGAATTTCAAGGAGGAAATGCCAGTCGTGTTGAATGGGATTAATAGTGGAAAGTGCTCCATGGATTTGTCAGTTAGGCTGCCATTGGTGATGATCATCTGGATAATTATTTAACAAAGAGGGGAAGGCAGAAATCAGACTATGGCGCATGGAAGAGTTGATGGAAGGCAAGCCTGTGGAGGAAGCAAGTGTTGACCATTTTTTTGAAGTCTGTATAAGAATTTGAGGCCCTCAGAGAGGAGTGACAGAGAGTAGGAAGGACACGGGCCTGGGAGAGCAGCATGAATTTGGGGATGTTGCTGAGAAAGGGAAAGGAGCTGGCCAAGCACTAGGGAAAGATGAACAAGTGACACTGAAGACTTTTTCGGCAATAAAATCCAGAAAGTTTTAATGGCAACCATCCATGCTTTTGTGTTGTTTTGTTTCCCTGTCAAATGATGAGTTGCAGAGATAGCCCAGGGTTGGATCAAGCTGCCAAAGAAGAATCTACTCAGAGGGTCCTTGGCCACAGGATGGTGACACGTGGCCACCTCTAGCTACCAAGCACAGCTGGGAAGGCAGACTTTTAGCTTTCCAGTCTCTAGTGGAGTGAGCAAAGGAGAGTTGGAAGTATCTGTGGGTTCACCTAACAAGCAGTGTTCACCCCGGGGACCAAGGTTCAGCTTCCTCACTGACCAGCCAGGTTAGTATAGAAAGCTGCAGCCACGTTGCCACAGCTAGTCAGCCAGGATCTCAAACATGCCTGTCTTTATGCAGTGGCTGTTGGAGGCACAGGGATATTGTGAACGATCTGATGTGACCCATCCCCAGTATCAGAAAACTAGCTCAAAGTGCATATCGCAATAAAATGATCAAGTGCTAATCTTTTTAAAGCCCACAGTATACATGTGTTCTGCCAATCCGAAGCAATCCCCGAGATAGACAACTGCGCAGCCTCTAAAAGGGTTTGTGCAAGTGTGTGTCTGTGTCTAGTAACCTTCTCTCTTGACTGTAATCTCCCCAACAGCAGATTCTGTCAGCCTTGCTTTTTTTTCGATTTCCATTTGACATTTAAGAGCTCGTTCATTGTGTGTGTTGTCATTGTTTGCCGTGCTCAGCATTTCTCGCTCAGTGTACAACTCCTTGTTAAGAAAACTCCATAAACTTCAGTGAGCCCTCCAGAATCCACAAGCCGGCTTTCCCGGAGAACTCGGGCACGATTCTTCATGTAGCCCTGCTCCCGTGCTGTGTTCTCGCTGTGGATTACAGCCGGGCGAGACGTGCGGCGTGCTGCTCTCTGAACTCTCACCGCGCTCGCGGCAGGTTTCATCTTGCCGTTAACTTACTCTGCTTGGTTTTTTGTGCATTTTTTTTTTTTAATGGCATAGTTTGGCAGTGATCGGTTGCTACATATAATGACATTATATATTTCTATAATAAGAAAGTGATTTTTTTTTTTTTTTTTACTTTCTTGGTGGAATTTGTCCAGAATGCCTCTGATAGAGTTTGGGATATTAGTACAGTAGTCCCCCCTTATCTGTGACTTTGCTTTTCATGGTTTCAGTTGCCCTCAGGCAAGTACAGTCCAAAAATATTAAATAGAAAATTCTGGAAATAAACACTTCATAGGTTTTAAAGTGTGCTCTGTTCTGAGGAGCATGATGAAGTCTCACGCCACCCTTTTCTGTGCTGCCTGGGCTGTGACTCACCCCTTGTCCAGTGATTCCACACTGTGTGTGCAGCCCTTCCTTTAGTCACTAAGTAAGTGGCCTTCTCCGTTACCAGATCAGCTGTCGTGGTATCGCAGTGCTTGTGTTCAGGTCGCCCTTATTTTACTTTATAATGGCCCCAACACACAGGAGTGGTGGAAGATACTGGCAATTTGGATACCAAAGAGGAGCTGTGAAGTGCTTCTTCAGGGGAAAGGGTGCAGGAAAAACATAGTCTCCATAGGGCTCGGTACTGTTTGCTCTCAGGCATCCACTGGGAGTCTCAGAACGGATCCCCTGCAGATAAAAGGAGACTGGAGAACTTTTAACTCAGACCATGGGTCCGATTTCTCCGGGACCTGGTTTCTGCCTCTGTCACTGATATGTCATAGCTCTCTATGCCACAGTTGGTGTCACACACACAGGAATCCAGGAGCTCAAAAGCCCTAAAATGCTTTGAAATATTTGATCAGTGTTACTTGTAGTGCTTTCACCCACTGGTCAAATGAAGACATTATGAAGGCGGTGCACTCACCTGGTGATGAAACAGGGTAAATAATGTTCCCGTTACAGAGGGAGTGCAGTGCCACACATCTAGCCTCCTGCAGACCGAGCGAGTGAACATCTGAGATGATGCCAAGGCTGGTGATCATTTTAAATCTCCGTTGCTAACTCCCTTCCTCCTTACACATCAGTTCCTTTAAACAAAAGTCTTTTTTTTTTATCTTTGCTGTGATAATTTATTAAAGTCTGACTCCGTAGAGCTGAACTTAGCCTTATAAGTCTTGGCTGTCTCTCGGGTCCCTTCTCTGAGCTTGGGGAGAGTCTAGGGATAGATGCAGCACCGAAAGCCCATAACTGTAGATGCTGCAGCAGCCAGATGTTGACTCCCCACCCTCTAAGGTGAACACCGCCAGACCCTGGCCATATCCAAAGGGCACTCTATTCTCTGAGAAGGAGAATATACTTTTTAGGTGGAAAGGCAAAAATTACTGGTAAATGGAGATTGAACTTCAAGATGGATGGAATTATCTTTTAAGTAACTTGTTACTAAAATAAAGTTTCTTAACCTGGACAAATCACAGGCTAATGAATAATAATTGTTTTTTGTTTATTACTAATGTTAATATTGAGTGAGTTTTATGAGCTTTGGTCTAAGAGTTTTGTTTACATTAACCTACTCAGTACTCCCATGCACTAGGTACTATTATCTCCATTTCACAGAAAAAGAAACTGAGGCCAACAGAATTTAGAAATTAGCTCTTGGTCACCTAGTAAGTAGTGGGGACAGGACTCAAGGCCAGTCTTTGAGGCTCTAGAGAAATGAAAGAACTTTTGAATGACATTTCCAAGTTACTGCTGGAGACCTTTGAGAAACTAGGAAGCTGGGTAGACAACAGAAGTCTAGACATAACCAAATGTAGTTCACATTTCTGCTGCTCAGTATTTTCTTGAATGTGGTGTCAAGTGCCATTGAATATTGTATCAGTTACTTGGGAAAGATGTAGAAAGTAGCTTTATAAAATTTTCCTGAAAGACCTTTGTAGGACTTTTAGTTGACTGTAAGCTCTATATGAGTTCAAGTAGAATATATGACCATTGTCCCCACCCCTGAACACCGTAGGCTTACGTGCAGGCAGTGTGGTATCTAGAGCGAAGGAGTAGGCGGCTCTCTCTACAGGCCACACCACTCCGCAGTATTTATTGTGTGTGGTCCTGCACCCCACGTTTCAGGGGAGATACAGAACAATTGGAACATTTTTGTTGGTGAAGTATGAGGACTGTAAAATTATTTGATTCATTTATATGAAGAATAGCATAAAAACTGGGGACATGTAGTCTGGAAAAGGGAAGACTTCAGAGAAGCCAAGGGAGGAGATGTCTTTAGCACTTGTGCTGACACACACGAGAATCACTGCAGCGTTGGCAGAATCAGGGCCAGCGATTAGAAGTTGATGATGACAGACAGAAAAGGCCTGATGCAGGACGGTCAGATCTTTCAGAGGTGGACTCGGCTGCCTGAAGGGGTGTTGAGTTTCCTTTCACAAACATCTGTGGGGGGTGCAACCAGACACTGAACAGCCATTTGCAGATGTATAAATGACACGAGCATCGACCACGTGGTTGGGCCAGACGACTGTTCAGGTCACTTCCAACTCTGAAGTTCTCTTTTTGACATTCTGTGAGCAGATTGAATCATCTGGGCTTCTGTGTTTAATCAAGGACAGAAATAGTCCTTCCTGTCTTGGACGTCTAATGCTGCCAACACTAGCATTAGCCAACTTGGTGAAAACAACATGATGAGCGACAAAATAACATGTCATTTCAGAGAATCAGTAGACATGTAGTGAAGTGATTGGTGTGTTGTCCTCCCCCCTTTTCAGTGCTGTCTCCTGCTCAAGATGGCCACACGAACCTGGATCTGCCCCCGGTGTCGGAGCAGATCATGCAGACGCTCAGCGAGCTTGCCAAAGCTTTCCAGGACATGGCCGACCGCTGCTTGCTGGTGCTGCACCTGGAGGTCAGGTAGGACTCGGCGACGCACGGGCTGAGGTTGAAACGCACCTGGGGTCATAGAGCGCCTGCTTATTTCTGGGGAGTGTCACCAGGATTTTTGTTATTACTGATGTTGTCCTTCTTTTATACCAAAAGTGACCTTTAATGTTATTCGGTCGCTCTGAAGTTTTCTGACCACATGTTGTGTTGTGAACACGGTGATCCAGAGTTTGCCAGGCCTGTGGTATCAGAACGGCCTGGATTTGAATGTCTGTACCAGCTGGCTAGTCGATCTTAAGACCATTAATTGAGTTTACTAACCCTCGGTTTCCTCATCCTAAAAATGGAAACAATAATTCCTAACCTGTAGATTTTATAAATGACATCATACAATGCCTGCAACATAGTAAGGATGCAAAGTGTGGTAGCTTTGCAATTATGGTGACTTTATCGTCATTGGTATTTTTGCTGAGGTGGTCTGCTGATCAAGAAGGGAGTATACAGGTGCAGGAACCACAATTCCTTCCTTCAAGAACTTAAAACCCAGTAGGAGAGATTAAGTTAAAATACTAATTCAAGAAAATACTCGTCTCGTTTCCTCCCCTACAGTGTAGAATATTCTGACTAGCTTTGGTGACCTCTGTGACTACACATATGGAATGGTAGGAAGAAAGGACTAGGGAGCCTTAAATTGTTGATTCCTTCATTCAATAAATATTTATGGAGGGCCTTCTATGTGGGAGGCAGTGTTCTAAAAGTTGGGATGTAGCAGTAAAGACAAAAACTCAAGGCCCTTGCTCTCATGGAACTACATTCTAATGGGGAGAAACAAAAAAGGAGTAAAAAAAGACGATGTCAGATAAGTGCAACTGAAGCAACAAATAGCAAAATGGAATCCAGCAGTGCTATCCAATAGAAACATAAAGTGAGCTACATGTGAACCACACAATTTAAATTTTCTAACAGTCACATTTGAAAAAAGAGGGAAACATAAATTATAGCAACTATTTTCTTCAACCCAGCATAACAAAAATATTATTTTAACATATAATTAACAGAAACATTATTAATGAGATATTTTGTAGTTTTTGTTCCGAGCCTTTGAAACCTGCAGATTTTTACACTGAGCACATTGAAGGTTGGACTAGTCATGTTTCCAGGGCTCCAGCGCCTCCATGTGGCCAGTGCTGTCACTCTGGGCAGTGCAGGGAGTGGCTGGGATGGATGGGAAAGTGGGATTTTTTCTTTGTTTTTTAGATAGAATGGTCAGAGAAAATGTGACAAGGTAACAGGAAGGAGCCATCTGTACAAAGACCTAGGGGAAAGAGTTTCAGACTCCCTGAGGGAGAAACACTCACAAGGTCCTGAGACAAAATCGGGCTTGGAAGAGAGAGGAATCCAAGTGATTGTTGCCCCATGAGCCAGAGTAGAGTGGGGAGTGGAAGGGAAGGAGAGGGCTGGAGCCTGATCATTATAGGGTCTCACAGGCAAAGTGAATAGTTCACATTTTATTCCAAGTGCATTAAAAAGCCATAGAGGCTTTTAAACAGGGAGACATATTCATTCATTCATCACTCATTCACATTTTTTTCAATTTTTAAAAAATTAAATGATCGGGGTGACATTGGTTAATAAAATTATATAGGTTTCAAGCATACAATTCTGTGATACACCATCTGTGCCTTGTATTGTGCGTTCACCACCTAAAATCTAATCTTTTTCTGTCACCGTGTATTTAGCCCCCTTTCCCCTTTACCAACCCTCTGCACCCCTTCCCTCTGGTAACCACCATGCTCTTGTCTGTGTCTACGAGTGTTTGTTTGTTTGTTTTTCTTGTTTGTTCCTTTGTTGCTTTCAGTTTCATATCCCACATTTGGTTCTTGACTTTCTGTCTGATTTGTTTCACTTAGCATGTTTATGACTGGATATACGTAGCATGTATATACTGTGGAATACTCAGCCGTCAGAAAAAGACGAAATACTGCCATTTGCGACAACATGGCTGGATCTTGAGAACAGTGTGCTAAGCGAAATAAGTCGGACATTCATTCACACTTTTGAAAGATCGCTTTGGCTGTAAATGGAAAAGGAATTTCAGGGAGAGAGATGAATGGAAGCAGAGTGACTAGTTGATAACAGAGTGATGGAGGAGGAAGTGTGAGAAATGCTGGACGTGAGACACATTCTGAAGGTAGAGCCCATAGAATTTGTTGATAGATGAGATTGGGTGCAGGAGCTGGAAGCAGTGAGAGAACAGGGCTCAAGGAGTACCACCAGCTTTAGGGCCACAGCAGCCGTGTGGATGCCAGGGCCATTGATGGAGTTGAGAAAGACCGAGAAAGGAGAAAGGTTGGCGAGGGGTGGAAGTCAATAATTCCATTTTGGAGATGTTCAGTTGACAGCTAGGTAGCAATGTCAAATAGGCAGTTGGATGTAGGCTTTCTTTTTAAATATTTGTTATTGATTTTTTAGAGAGAGAGGAAGGGAGAGGGGGAGAGAGAGAGAAACATCCTGCATTGGGGATCAAGCCTGCAGCCCAGGCATGTGTTCTGACTGGGAATTGAACCAGCGGCCTTTCGGTGCGCAGGATGATGCCCAACCAATAGAGCCACACCAGCCAGGGCAGATAGACTTCTGAAACTTCAGAATCAGAAACCTTAGGATCAGAAGTGTATAGTAATACATTTTCTTGTGGATGACCATGAGACATTATTAAGTTGATAGAGTATTATTTTTCTTTTGAAGTCTTTACTAGATTTAGATTTTTTCAATTTATAAGGATTTTAGTTCATATGTTTGCACTCCTGTTAGAACTTGGATATCTTTCCAGTGTGCCCAGGCAAAGCTTAATTGATAATGTATTGCTGTCACTTCTTTTGTGTGCACCTTGCTTTTTTTTATTCTTTTTTTAAAATTTATCTTTATTGTTGAAAGTATTACAGATATCCCCCCTTTTTTCCCC